TTCACCAGGGCCGAGTATTGGGTCCTCCATGACTCCTCTAGGTGGTTACGTCTGTACTCACATCTGGCCCCCACTGGCAGAGAAAACCCTGGCGCGCCGTCTGTACAGACCAGGTTCAAGGGAGAACGTGGATTCCTGGTGTTTTACAGCCATTGCCAGGCATAGCTGCTCCCGCTCTGCCAGCGATATGCGTGAGCACAGCTCTAAGCGGGGTTTGGTTTGGTTGGTAACAGGTTCCAGGAATCCAGACTGAGGCTCCCCTTTCCCAGTGCACCCGCCCCCTGGGGTGACAGCGACCCAGGGTACAGCCAGTGAAGTGAATCTGGGCAGGCCTGTCTGCCCTAGGAAACACCATCTGTTCCTTGCATGGCAGTAGCAGCGGCTAACCCAAAGCGGGGCTGTGCAGGCAGAGACAGCACCGTCCGGGCATGGCAGTGCAAAGCACAACCTGTCGATCTACTGACTCCACACTGACACTGGCTGGAAGCGAGGAGGCCAGAGCTACCCAAGCACAACGGGCGGAAGATGGAACCTGCCCAGTCGGGGAAGAGGCGCTGAAGAGGTGCAGCTGGAAGGTGTCACCTGTCTCTCCCTCAGCAAGCTGGAGAACTGAGTAGCTTTGAGCTACTGAAGCGGTGCTGCAAGCGCTCTTCCCGCGGGGCTCCAGGAGAGAGCAGCACTCGCATTCCTGCGCAGTTCCCACCGGGGAGACCCCGACTGCCTGCACTGCGCAGAGGTGAACGGCAGCTGTGGCACCGCCATCGTCTGCACCAGCCCTTTGGAAAGGCGGTACCCCTAGTGCACGAATGATGAGGTTCTGGTGGCGGACTGGCCTGCAGTGGGCAGCCAGCTGTGACAGTACTTTGCCCAGCTATGGGGTCTTTCGTCTAAGGCTTCATCTGCAAGTACTGATTAGACCTCGCAATGCGAGGTAGGGCAGGGACACACGAGGACCCGTCTGCCTACCCTGGGGTGCACAGCAGCACAGGGAGCGGAGGGCCCTCGGCCAGGTGGTGACCAGCCGTGGGGAATATCCTTGAGGGCTTACACACAGGGAGCTTAGTCTGGTTCCTTACGTCAGGGCTGGTCTGGTCCTGGTGCCGGTGCCATGACCCCGGCTGTGTCTCTGGGAGTTAGGAGAAGATTTTGTGACACAGCCTCCATGTATGGGACCAGAACTGAGCCAGTGAGGGAGACGCGAATGCTACGGAGGGGGCTCTCTGCTGCCCAAACAGGCTGTGCCGCTCCGCCGAGCAATGACCAGCTTGCAAGGGCGAAGACTGGGCAGCGAGCAGGGGCTTCCCAAGGAAGAGAGAGACCCAAAGATCCAAGGGAAGGGGGGGAGTGGAGAAGCAGCACCGGAGTGGTTTGAGCAGGAGGCCAGGAGTCAGTGCAGAGGCCTGCGTGCAGGTGGCCTGCGAGTCCTCAGAGCGCATCTCCTGACCCCTCATTGGCAGCCCTGATCCTCCTCGCAGACTGATTGCGCTGCTCTCCCGCTCCATGATTTCCCCAGCCCACATGGGCTGGACAAGTTCATCTCAGGGGGAAGGGAGCAGGCCCCAGGCTCCCAATAGCACTTCCAGCCCTGCCAGCCAGAGCCAGCGTTATTGCTAGGTAAATGGCAGGTGCAGGGCAAACATGCAAACGAGGCTGCTGAGAGTCCTTCTGATCAATTAGCTACTCTGGCTTCCTAGTGCTTTTATCGCTGCTCTGCATCAAACAGCCCCTGGCCCCCAGTAGCGCAGAGACAGAGACAGAGCCAGGGCCATGCACCACTGACTCAGCAGGCTGAGGATTGCCAGCTTTTGAGCCTCTGGCCTACCCCATCCCCTCCCTGTCTGTCTGTCCATCCATCAGGTACTTCCAGGGGCGCCTTACCATAGTGCCGGAGTATCTCGCAGTACCTGTGCTCCTCCTGCTCTTCTCTCCCTGAGGCAGGGGCTGTTTGGCCCAGCACCTGGCGCTGCGGGGTCCCGATCTGACGGGCTCCTGGCAATGCAGCTAACCCAACCATTGCCTCTCCCTCCACACAGCTAGATCTCACCCTTGTCTTGGCTGTCTCTCTGGCCTTGACAAATGCAGTCTGCCCTGCTCAGAGCCATGCAGAGACCGTTTTCCTAGCCTGTCCCTCTCCCCATGTCACTTCGCTCTCACACCCCACGCAAGCGGCTGGTTTTCACTTTCCAGGCCCTTCCCCCCAGTCCCCACCTGCCTATCCTCTCAGTCACTACTGAGCTTTTGAAGCTCGCCTCTGATTGGCCCATAACACCAGCCTCCAGTGCCCACTTGTTACATTTTCAAACAAGCCGCTTTGTACTTTCTCCTGCGCTGCCCTCACGTGTGGGAGGACACCCCCAGAGCCGCTTCTGCACCCGCCTTCCAATCCCGCTGCCAAACTCTCCTTTGCTGTGATGCGCACAAAGAACTGGACAGCCGTTCGGCTGCTGGTAGGCAGAGTCCATGGCCTGGCATGCTGACCAGCACTGTCTCACTGTTCACTTGTGCTCCCATCTGTCTGGCTGCAGCCCTCTGGTGTCTCTTGGCTTATATGTGGGTTGGGAGCTCCTTGCGGCAGGGACTGTCTTTGTGTTCTGTGTTGTTCAGCTCCTAGCGCCAGGGGGATCTGGCCCCTGACTAGGGCTCCTACAGTAACAATACAGCAGAGGTGGGTTGCCCCTTCCAGAAAAGGTTTTCAGGTGACAAGAGGCCAGAGACTCCTGGGCTGTGGAAGGAGGCTGGGGAGTGGCTGGGAAATGGCCTCTCAGCTGAACGGCAGGCAGGGGCACTGCCAGTGAGTTTTGCCCGTCCACAGTCAATGCCACGCAGCCGGACTTAAAGAGATGCCTGCAGGGAACTTTTCTCTCCACCGTCTTACAAACATGTCCCATGCACCCAGCTGTGCCCATCTGCCTGCTCTCTACTAGCCTCACTGCTTCCCCTTTCTGTCCACCGCTCAGTCAGTTTTCTAGGGCTCCCTTAGTTGCTGAGGGCCCTCAGGCAGCAGCCCTGCCTCAGTTGCCCTACTTGTAGGGGCATGAGGCTGTGCAAGTCTGGACAGGGGCTGGATCGAGGGTAGAGCCTCTGCCCCCCGACACGCCTCTTGTCTCTGCTTGGACAGATAGGGGGCTACCGGGAGAGCAGAGGGGTATGAATTAGCAGCAAGAACAAAACGGGTTCAAAGAGACAGCACTAGAGAGCAGGGCACCAGCAGAGGCTGCTTATGTGCCTGGAGTCAAGGAAAAATCAGCAGCTAGATCCCTTATCCGTGCCCACAAAGTGCTCAGTGCCTAATTGCTGCCTGGCAAGCTGTGGCACCGTGGGTGTCTGACTCACCCGGGGACAGCCTGCCTCTCCAAACCTGTCGCTGTCAGACCAAGCCTCCGGGAAAGCCGCTGAGCTCAGCCCCACGTGCTAATTCCCACTTGGAAGGATTTAATTAGGAACCTGCATGGACAGATCTTTGCCGTGCTGGGGGAGGCTGGGGAAATGCCAGGCGTGCCCTGCAGGATGCCAGCAGCTGTCAGTCCCCCCTCCCGTGTCATGACTAATATGATCCGGCTGTCAAGCCACGTCTCTGTTCTGGCCCCAAAACAACGCGGAGAGCATTCGTGACCCTGTAACCTCCCTCTGCCTGCAGGCAGCCTGGCGGGGTTGTGAGAATTAAAAGCCCAGAAGGAGACGTATCCCTACACCCTCTCCCCCCGCCCCAGACTAGGAGTGCACTCACTGCCCCACATTCACACCTCGTACAGGGCTGTCTCCACAGCAACCTCGAGAGACATGCACAAATCCCAGCGAGATGCTCGCCCAGAGCTGCTGTGTAACCGTGTTGTCATGACAGTTGCTCTCAGCGAAGCGAGAGTGAGAGCCCGGGCATTGGGGCTTGGCAAGTTATTTTGCACCTTCTGTGTTTCCAGCAGCTCCCCCTGCACTATTCCACAGGAGACTGCGCCTGGCAGAATGGGGCTGGGCCCAGGCCATCTGAGCCAGCCCAGCCTTCGCTGGTGAGGGGAGTCACCCCAGCTGCCCGTACCTCTCCCCCAGATACAGTTTAGGACACTAGGAACCATTCTCTCCTTGTAACACTTGTGTGACTTGGTGGATAGGCTCTGCCCATTGTCAAACCCTAACCGGGAGGGGCCAATTAGCAGGGGTCTGTCATCCTGCCAAGGACGGCAGGGGAGCCTGGCATGGCAGAATGGGGCTGCTGGTGAGAACGGAGAGGCCTGGGAGCACTGCATGCACACAGCCTCCCTGGGACAGGAGCATTGAAGCCTGGCAAGGCGGCCCTCCGCTGGGTACTTTGGGAAGGCACTGCCTACAGAAATCTGGCTTTCCATTTTCAGGCAGCCATTTATTTATTTTCACTGGCCTGGCCTGTGCCCGCTGGCCAGCATACCTGGACCCCACGATCCCGGGGGCGAGGGGGTGTTGGATAGCCAGCTGGCCGTGCTTGCACAGCACCACACCCACATCCCCTGGGTTTGCTCACATGGCACCAAGGACACCCGCAAAGCACTCGGCTCCTGCATCCTGCTCCCTGGGTACGTCTACACTGAAGAGACCCCCATGGCAGAGAGTCCCAGAGCCCAGGTCAGCTGACTCAGGCTCACGCTCCGGGGCTAACCGTAGTAGTGGAGACCCTCCCCCCTTGCTAGGCGCCAGCCCGAGCAGGAACGTCACCCCGTAGTGAAAACCCAGTCAGCTGACACAGGCCCTGCGACTAGCTGCCCCGGGGTTTGTTTGTGCAGTGCAGATGTACCCCAGAGGCTCTAGGGGTGCCTGCCTTAGGGAGGGAGAGTTCTGTACGGAGCCCACATCATCACGTCAGCCCTTCATCTCTGCGGGGCCTTAGCATTGCTGAGCCCCTCTCCAGGGCTCTAGCCAGCTGTGGGAAGACGGGAAGGGTTCCCATCTCCTCCCCTTCCTGCCCTGTGTGGAGGGCGGCATGCCACTCGCTGCTCCAAGGAGAAAGCTGGTTAATCCCACCTCTGGCTTACCTCTCACAGACACGGACCGTCCAAGCGGCGATGATCCATAGGGAGATGCTGAAGACCAGCAGCACGGTGCCGGGGCAGATGGTCATGAGAGTCTTCATGACGAAGCGTGTGTTGAAGTTGATTTTGTTGAGCGCCCCGATGCTGCGTGACGAGGCATCAGTGAAGAGCTTGCTGTGCAGCAGCATGACCCGGGCAATCAGGTACAGGCGGAGGAACATGGGGATGGAGAGGATGATGTCCACATCGGCCTCTGCCCGCGAGGGTGTGTAGGAGAAGGCCAGACGTGCTGTCCAGAAAAATTTGTACTCCCCAGGGATGGGGTGTATGGCACAAACCAGCATCTCCAGGCTGATGTAAAGGATGCGCTCATAAGTCATTGCTATCCGCCAGTCATCGGCGCCGTTGTCGATCACGAAGAGCTAGCGGGATGGAAGGCACGTGATTAGAGACAGCACCCAGTTAGCGACACCCTGCCTTCCTTCCCATGAGCTACGCTGCAGGGCCTGGCCCCTGGGAATGGAGACCGCGGGCAGAGTGTGAGGGAATTCATACTGGCTATGGTACAGGGTCCAGAACCCCAACGTGAGCCCTGCCCCAAAGCGCTCACAGTCCAAAGAGCGGGAGGGGAAACAGAGGGGAGGCAGTTTGCCCAGTGGCAGCAGTAGGAACAGGACCCAGGTGTCCTGACACTGTGTCCAGTGCCCGAGCTGCCCCTTTTAGGCACAGTCTTTCTTGGCTTGACTTGTAGCAGCTGCCCCCATGAAGCCCCAGGACTCACGTTCTAATCCTACCACTAACACCAACCCCCTGCTAATGCTTACTCAGGCAGGCAGTGCCGCGGGAATCGTGTAAGTGACAGCAGCACAGATGGGCAGGATCTGGCCCGTAGCTTTTCATCTCCATCCTTGGGCACCTGTGGCGCACGGCGGTAACACGTGCTCACTTAGCCCTGTCTGATTGGAGCAGCGCGTGCCGGAGCCGGCTCAGCAGCAGGGTCCCTGCAGTCAATAACGCAGGCTGGAAGGAGGGTCTGTAGGGAACCGGCTGAATTGCTGCACTCCAGCATGGGAGAGCGTTTGTAAACTCCAGGGCAAGTTCAAGGTCAGGTTTCTCCCGTGGGGCCCACGGACTGGAACCTGGCTTAGACGAGGTTATTTATCCCAGGAACAGAACCCTCCGGGGAAAAGCTTTCCCTCTCCTGCTCTCGTCCCTGCATTTCTCCGTCTATCACAGGTTCACGCAGGCACACTGCGGGTGGGGGAGGACGACACACTTCTCCAGCTGCTTTAAAAACTAAACAGAGGGAGCGGTGGCTCCACACCAGGGTGGTAGAAAGGCCTGTCTGCCTTAGAACAAGGCTTTCAGCAGAGGCCAGGCGCAGGGAGAGTCATGTGCAAGACAGCCCCATGGAGAGGGGGCCGGCAGCCCCAAGGCACTTAGGTGAGCTGCATGCCAGGGCCAGATCTTTGCAGGCTAAGTTGGGGTGGGGTACTGTCTGGCAGAGCCTAGCCTGGGAATGGGAATGGCCACCTGCCGGGCAGTGGTAAGGGGCTCAGTTGGTTTGGAGGCAGGGAGTGGCTCCTGCAGCTTTTCAGCTGGCCCCATTTGGGGAGGGACAGCCCATCTGTGCATGTGGCATGATGGGACTCGGATACCAGCAGTCCTATTGGATGCTGCAGCAGGAACCACCGGATAAAAGCTCTGGGGATTAGCAAGGGCCAGCCCAGAAAGAAATGGAGATTGTGGTCTGCGCCCTGCACCTTTGGCTTGTAAACGCAGGGACAGAGCGCTGTACTCGGCGCGCAGGGCCTGCCTCACCGGTCTCAGGGCCCTTCTCCCCACAGGCCCCTTGCACTGGACGCTGGGCGTAGCAAGAGCCACGCCCTGCACTGACGAGCTCCGGGCAGGAGGGGAACCAGAATCCCAGGGAGGGCAGGTGACTCGTGCAGGGCCACCCAATAGATCAGTGGCAGAGCCAGGAACAGAAGTCAGGTCTCCTGGCTCCCAGCCTTGTGCCTTATCTAGCCCATGCTGCCTCTCTTCAGTGCATAGCAGAGCCTGCAGGGGGCCAGGGCCAACCCAGGGCTGCAGAGCTCAGGCGGCCGCAGCGCTCTCAGTCAGCCTAGGAAATGCCTGAACGGCCTTCCACCGAGCGTGAGGTGGGGCTTTGTCCAGCCCCCTCTGCTCTCAGGGGCCTCCCCTCCCAATGAATTTGTTGCTCACGCTGGGCCTTAGAATGGCCCAGCCCCCTGTGCAGAACCTGGCATCACCAGCTTCCCCGCTGAGCATTGCACTGTCAATTAACATGACTGAATGGCCCCTTAAAGGCCCCCTTGCTCCTAATTGCGGATGGACGGGCAAAATCAGAGCAACACAATGGGGCAGCCAGCTTTTCAACTGCAACATTAAACACCCAGACACCCTGCTGTAAGGAAAGATCCCATCAGGTTTCCATGGCAACAGCAGGTTCATCCTGGGCCAAGCAGTAAGGAAGCAGGGTCTCCTTGGCTTTGAAGGTCAGGCTGGCTTGCGCTGGGGACACCGCACTGGAAAGCACCAGGGCTGGCTCCTGCAAACCCTTGTTTATCTGCATCGCTCTTGCTCCCATGGGGGTTGTGAGTCCTGGGCCCCCAGGCTGCGTACGTGGGGCTCCAATGGGGCAGTGCATTATTGTATTCATTAAGCACTGACCATCACCCAGCTCCATAAGATACGTAGAGGGAGACTTGGTCTCTGCTCCACAGAGCTTACACTCAAACCACTTCTTCAGCTCCTTTTTGCTAAGTAAAGGCCCAGTTCTGCCCCCATCACTGCCTGGCTCAGCAGAGCTTTGGAAAGACGCTAAGGCTAGGAGTCCTAGCAGGGGCGGCTCTATGTATTTTGCCGCCCCAAGCACTGCAGTCAGGCCACTTTCAGCGGCGCGCTTGCAGGAGGTCCGCTGGTAATGCGGATTCAGCGGCGTGCCTGCGGGAGGTCCGCCTGTCCCGCGGATTTGGCGTACCCGCCGCCAAATTGCCGGCGAAGCTGCGGGACCGGCGGACTCCCGCAGGCACGCCGCCGAAGGCAGCCTGACTGCCGCCCCCACAGCAATTGGCAGGCCGCCCCCCACGGCTTGCCACCCCAGGCACGCGCTTGCTGCGCTGGTGCCTGGAGCTGCCCCTGAGTCCTAGGCATGACAGCCAGGCTGGCTGCTCGCTGGGTCTCAGGGGGCAACATCGAAGGGGTTCCCAGACTGACAGAGCGAGGACAGCGGCAGCACGTTCATTAACACATTCACATTCTCTGGGCTCAGACAGGTCAGTCAAGCAGGAGTCTCCTCCAACCACTGACCCCTAGACTGGAGAATGTACTAGAGAACAAACCTGCACAGTGCTGGGGGGAAGGGGATGGGAACTCCTCGGGCTTTTCCATCCCTGGTTTGTGATTCCTAGCAGCTCTGTGGGAAAGACGGGCACGCCAGCCGCTGTTAGTCACTGACAAACAGCTCCCTAGCGTGGAGAATTAGGCTTGCCAGAGACTCAGACTGGAGTCGTGTTCGCTGAGGTGTCACCCCCTCCCCTCTCCCTTTCGTCATACCGATGTTACAGCACTGGGGAGTGAGGGGGGGCGCTGAGCTCAGGGGCCCGGTACGGTTGTCCCTCCTTTCCCCCCACTCTCACCAGCCACATAAGGAATTAGAGCCCCCCAAAACCTGCAGTCTAAATAAAGACACAGGGTCAGAGGGAAGCAAGGAGGAGACTGTCCTAGGTCCTGCAGCAGGCAGCTCCGAGACCAGATCTCAGGCCTCCTGGCCACTGGATTCCCTTGAGCAGATCCCGGAAGATATGGCTCCCCTGTGACCAGGACCCCAGTCTTATTTCCCCACTTGCCCAGCCAGGGGCAGCACCTTACACCTGCTCTGAGCAGCTCTGCCTGGGGCTGGGTGTGAGCATCCTTCGTGGGTGAACAAACCCACAGGCTCACTCACCCAGCTCCTTGGTCTCTTCCCCCTGGTCTGTTTGGAAAGCTCCACGGCTTGTAGCTTAAGCAATTGTTTATAAAAATGCTCCAAACTGCCAGGACGATGCTCAGGGGTGTGAGCAGCTGACAGCCCATTCCTTCCTGCAAAGGGTATTACAAATAAACAAGCAAAGGAAATAGCCCAAAAGCTGTTTTCCTCCTTGTGCAGGAAAGGGGGGGATGCTTTCATGTTTGCTTGTTGTAACCTTACCGCACTAGCAGGGAAGTGAAAAGGGGTGTGTGTGTAAAGTTCTCTCCAGCATGCACACTGGGAGTGCACCATTGCTACCGGGGTTTCTATGGAAACCACATCCAAAGTCCAGCCATATCCAATTAGGCTTCCCCAGGCTTGCCGGCAGGGAAAGGCGCGGCACTTGCCCCAGTGGCTAGGAAACAATGATGCAGCTGGAGAACGCAGCAAGAAACCCAGGGGAAGGAAGAAACTCTGTTAAGAAGCACGGGCCTGCACCCATCGGTGTGGGAGAAGTTCCAGTTAGGGCAGCTCTGGCATTTGCTGCCACTTCCTGCGTGCCCTCTTACAGCTGGGGATTCGAGCGCGCCGCAGCGTGTCACAGGCGCGCAGGCCTGGCTCCTACGGGACTCATCAAGGGACGACTTCTCCTTAGTGCTCAGGGCAGGGCTGTTGAGAGGAGCTCTTGACTTCACTCTCAGGGATACGGGGCCATAGACATGGGCAGCTGGGCACGTCCTTTCGAGCTGACATTGCAGCACACGTGTCTGCGTAAAGCTGGAACTTTCAGCACAATGATAGCTGTTGTACACCCCATCCGGGCTGTCTGCCTCTTTCAGAGCCCGGCTCCCCTGAGACCTTCCTGCACGCTGCCCTCCATCTCTGCCAGGGTACAGGCACTTCCTCTTGGGCAGCCCGGAGCCAGCTCCGGGGGCTCTGACCCTCCAAGTGTTTTACACCTAAATCAGTCACAGACCAGCCCTTTCCGAAAGCCAGCCCTGCCACATACCTGCTCGTCTTCCGCACAGCACGTAGCAGGCTGAGTCTGTGAGGAAGAAATTAAGTTTGCTCAACAGGCACCAGGAACCACCTTTAGAGCAGACACAATCCACGTGCTGAGGGGCTGGATCCTGCTCGGTTAAAGTCAAGGGGAGCAGAATAGGGCCTATAGGTCTTGTGTGCAGTGGGGATCGGTCCCGATTTCAGCCATTCATGGCCACACCCATACAAGCCTCTAGTGCAGAGTTAACTGCTATTAGCCTTGATTTGGTAGGTGCAAGCTACCCTGGTTTCAAGCAGGGTTCGGCTCCACTGCTGCCCTCAGCAGGGGCTTTGCCAGTCTGCGGTGGTGCAGCTGTACGTTGGGCCAGTCCCTACATGGCCCAGGCCTTCGAGAATGCACACGCTGCTTTAAGCGCTCCCAGTTCTGCAAAACCCTCCAGCAGATGC